GTGTGTTTAGCGTCTCCAACTGATCCAGTCTCTACGAATTTTTCAATTAATCATTTCACAGTTGACGAGGTAAAACACTATTTTTACCATATTTTGTATAAAATTTTCGAACTGCGGCCGCCAAACTTTCATTATTTAAAAAAAATATTGTTCAATAATGAAGACACGTTGTTGTATCGTATAACGCTCCATTTTCATTAACCCTAAACTCTCGGCTCTCAAGCTTATTCACAAAGCCTACAGGCCGTTTCTACTGCTGTTTGCTCCGATTGGTTGAAACAGGAAACGTAGGGTTACAGAACCTAGTGCTTGGCGACTTTTGGTTCATCGCCTTTAGAATTTGTATTTAAGAGTGGTGTACCAAAAATTGAGCATAGCTGACCGGCGAAACCGCAGCTCAGCGGTAACGAGCGCGGAACAAGTTGTCAGATTTCTAGATCGCCGGTTCTATCCCTGTTCGTAGCTTTCGTAAACTCTGCTCTACACGGATTTTTTTAATTTCAACTTTATTGAATGACTTCGTCATTATTTGTTTGGATACGGTATTAAAAATTAAACGTCTTTATTTTCTCTATTTTTGATAATTTTTCTTATTTTTATTTACTGGTTTGTACTCTTTGTAGTAGGTACTGGTAGCAAGATTACGATCCAAGATCCCGAAAAGCGTTTCAACAGAAATAACGCATAATGGAATAAAATATAATTTTAGTTATACTTACTTTTCATAATTTAGGTAAAAAAGAATAGGTATCCGACGCCCTTAAATGTTTACTGAATGTTTTCATTTGGTTTATTTTTTAATATTCCTTTATTTGTATAAATTAATGCGTTATGGAAATTTACACAACAGGTTCTTTCTAACAGAAATGACCAAAAAGTACACGTGCCATTTCCATGTAAAAACTTTTTCTTGCAAAACAATTATCGTACTTTAAATAGTTTAAATTCAAATACAAATAAACTATTAATAAGATTAGTAGGTTATTTAAAACATATTCCACACAGTTCCTCTTAGCTTTCATTCATAAAATAAAAAATTATCGAATGAAATGAACGCTGTTTCCGTTTGTTTGGCGTTAATTACCACGCCTACAGGGCGATAACTCGCCATTCCAAATATGACCGCCAAGCAGATGTTTCATCCAATGACAGCAGACCTTAGAGAAATGGTCTATAGGCTTTGTGAATATGCGGCTCTCAAACTGTTCTTTTTTCAGGGTTGCCAAACTTGAAATCTTGCGTTAATTTTGGGACACCCTTTATATGTTCCCGGCAAAGTATGAAATCCGAAGTTTTATAGAATACTGTAATGTATTTTGCAGTAATTGACAAAATAACAGATAATCTTCTTAGTAAAACATAAATTTTATTTTTAGTTTACGGAGATAGATAATTTGAATATAGTCTTTTTCGTTACAAATTTTTCATGCATCTCCTAGCTGGTAAAATTTCAGAAAATCATTTTAAACAATTTCTTACGTTGCTGAACAACGGTTATATCATACAAATATGGCGTTGCCACTTCAATAATAAATATAATTATTTCAAATATACAATACGTAAAATATGGAAAAAATATAAAAACATACAAAAACATTTCAATACGGCGCATTTTATGGAAGGTTGAAAACTGACCGGCGAAGAAAGCGACTAAAAATTTCGCACATTGCTTAGGGCATTTTATTTACGAATTTAAACAACCAAATAACAACCGGCCAAGGGTATGAATAATCCGAAAAAAAAAGAAGTGGTTCCATATACCAGGTTTGTTCGGGGGTGTCAAAATACGCGATTTTACTTAAATTTATCAAAAAAAAAAAAAAAAAAAAAAAAAAAAAAAAAAAAAAAAAAAAAAAAATTAGTTTTTTACTGCTCTGCATGAAAATGGAGGAGTTAGCTGCAATGCTGCAGGAGTCATGGCCTACAGACATCAAACAAGTATTCGACGATGAACTGTCCGAAATTCGACTTAATGCTGCAGAAAACAATTTTTTCTTGATCGAAACTACTTGTCAGAAATTAATAAATAATGTTAAAGAAATCCAAAATGACTATCAGGAAGAAACCAAGGGATTATTTTGTTGCTGAATCGCTATGATGTAATGTTTGTGGAAAGCAAAAGTAAACTCATTTATTCCTATAAAGAAGGCGTCAGTACGTCACCACTGAGTTTTTTACATACTTATGAAACTCATTTGGCTGTTGGACGCACAGGACATGGCAGAATGTTGAAAGAACTTTCAACCAAATACAAAAACATTATACAGTCAAAAGTCGTTAATTCGGACACCCATAATCCGGACCTCAAAGCTAAAAACTTTCTGCGCATGCGCCGCGTTGACACATGCGCATAGGCGTTTACGCGTGCGCTTAAGACCTTTACGACTGCGCATATGCGTGTGCGCAAGTGCAGAATACCCTTTCGCTTGCGCGTTTAATGTATAACGGACGGTATAAGCTAAAATTATCTAATTATCTATTTCAGTTAAGGTTGATGATTGCGTTGTTCCTTAATCTTCGAACTGGATCCGGCTTATTACTTTTTTCAGACTGTAAGAGCAATTTTATAAAAGTAAATTTGAACTTTCGATTATGTCAAATAGAATTTCCGATGCTGGAGCTCCCAAAGGATCTACAAAACGAAAGTATGTTTCGATGTCCGTCAAACAAAAAGTGGAATTGCTGCAAAAAAATGGATAAAGATATGAAAAAGGTGACAGAGAGGTTAGTGAAAACGAAAAAATTTCGATTGACAAGTTAGTCGGTATTCTCGGCACAGCAATTACGGGACTTGAACAGCGGAACTTTGTAACTGAACAAGAAATTATGTCAGTTTATAGAATTAAAGAGAAAGTATTATCACATAAAACGAAGCAACTTAAACAGTTTACATTGAAAGAAATGTTTAATAAAGTAAACAAATAAATATTAAGCCTTTTTTTTTTTTTTTTTTTTTTTTTTTTTGTAAATTTTGATACCCTTTAGATCATAATTGTTCTTTATTTCATAAATTACGGTTTCATATTTTTAATTTTAGAATTTCTGCATGCCATTTTACGAGATTTAAACTGATGATCTATAATCCGGAAAAATCGATAATCCGGAATTGCCGAAGTCCCGACGAGTCCGGATTAACGACTTTTGACTGTACATGATATTGAACTGTAAGCCCTTTTAGAAAAAACACTTTGTGAGCGCTGACAGAAAATACAAAAAGGAATTAAAAGGGGCATTGTTGTGAAACTTACGATGTTTTTTGAATTTAATTCCCGTTGTCAGGTAGACCTTATTATTTCCAGTTTCAGTCAGATACAGAATACAAGTTTATTATTGTACCAAGATCATCTCACTAATTTTTTTACTTGTTTTTGAATAAAGCTTTTTAATGTCAGTTTTCCATATTTTTTCAAAATAACATTTGTATGTTTAAGGAATGAACATCTTTTAAATAATAGCGTTATCATGATTTATATTATCCTTTTTATCATACTTTTAAATAAGAGTATTTATCATTCTACAGAACGCCTATGTATTATACACAATACTTAAGTAACGTATATAAAAATTCTCTTATTTCATATTTTGCTTGAAAATGCCAGGCATTTCATAAGATGCCTAAATATACTACAGAATGCCAGTCTTTCATACATTGCCCGTAACACGTATAACAGTATATATTCTGAGGAAGATTCAAGTTCGCATTTTTTTGGTTGTATTTTCTTGTATTCCTGCGTTTTGCTTTTTTATATTGCACTTGTTTCATAAAAATTTATATATTTAAAAAGGTATATTATTTACTTCTCAAACGAATTAAATATTTTTGCGTATTTTCCCCCTCATATTTATTTTATGTGATTTCTTCTTTCGACATGATATAGCTTTATATGAATAAACAATTAATTACAAATTAAAGAATTATTTATTTATTACAATAAACAATTAATTGCAAATTAAAGTTTTTTTATTGTAATAAAAAATTAATTATTAATAATTTTAAATCATTATTAAAAATTTATTTAATCACAAATTTTATACAGCTGTATATCAATAGACAATTAATTACAAATTTTTATTTACATTCATCGGCTTCATCACTATGTTCATCTGTTTCTGGAGAATCGACGCCTTGATCATTATTGGGCCCCTTTAAAATTTCACCGACTCCCCCCCCAGAGGTCAATACTTGGGAACTTTTAGTTTACACCATTTAGAATGGATGAAATGCCTAACGCTATTCAGTACAAAAATTAAACATTCGAACAAATTTTGCTGAAAAGTTATGAATTTTCAGTATCATGAAAGTATGAAAATTAAATTTCGCATGTCATTTATCAAAAATGTGAAGAATATTAAATGCGATTAAGTAACATAATACATTGCTTAAAATAATATATTTTTTTATAAGTGATAAAGAGAGAGGTGGTAATATGCTTGAAACAATCATTAAAATTAGTTCTCAAATTTATAAAGAATTATGGATTTTTTTTAGCAAACTGAGCATAAATGTAAAAGCCTCTATTTCATTAATAACACAACAATGAAACTAATCTAAACTTACACAGGCCTGCACAAGAAGGAAACAGAGGAAATAAATTACAAATATAGTTTCATATAATGCAGTTAATTAATACCTTCAATATTGTTGCAAAAATCTGCATAAATTTTCAGACAAAATTAGATTACAATATAGTAGGTTAAACTCAATAACATTATTTACTAATTATGAAGTTAAAAAGAAATTAGGGTAAAATCCTATGATGCAGCCTTGGCGCAATTTTGAAAATTATCACCAACACCAAAAATGATCCAGAGAACTTCTATATACTTATACACTTATATGTGTTATATATACTATGTATAACTATATTGTTTCATAAGAATAAATTGAGTTTAATTTCTTTGAATGACACCTGTTTACTACTCATCGTATATGTTCCGTTTTTGCTCTCATCATAAAGTCGCCAAAAGTAGCCAAATCCCGTGTGCACCGGATACTAGGATTAAACCAAATTGGTAGTTTTTTTTATTATTTTTTTATAAAAAAAGCTACAATATTATTTTTAATCATAAATAAAAGAATGCAGTATAAGTGATAATACGGAATTACTATTTCGGTCGATACAATACATCCGCTTTATATAACCTAGAAACAATCAAGAATGAATCATATTTCAAAAAGATATATATTAGGGGGCACTGAATGTCATCAGTTTGTCTATTTTGATTACCTCAAACGAATGGTAATATCAAATAATAACAAAAAATATCCTTCAGATTAGCACTAGAATTTAGCTAAGTTAATATTGTAACTAAACACATATAAATAGGTATTTTCACAGCATTTTAATTAGGAAGATACAAAAGTTTGCTTATGAACTGTTCGTAAGGTTTTTAACGCAGAAGTTCATTTAAGAACTATGAATAACATTTCTGGAAATTATTGGACCGATGCTACCCTAATTTTCATATTTGGAAGGCATCCTACAATAGAAGAAAATATGACAATGTAAAATTTAAAATGAGGCAAAAAAAAGCAACCTTAATTTGATGTAGATGTTTTCAGAGAATTTTTTTTTTTTTTTTCCAAGAGAGAAGTAAAATTTCTGCAGAATATTTTTTAGTCACTGAAGAAGAAAGACTTGTGTCTGATCGTCTTCAAAATCGATACAGTTATTCAAAATTTGCATCAAATTAAGGTTACTTTTTAGGTTAATTTTAAACGATTGACTAAAATAAAAAAGAGGTTCTCTGGTTCCTTACTTGATATTTCTCTGGGACTTGGCAATTTTATAATCAGTTTTGAGATTTTTGGAAGAATCAAAATTTATTCGATATTATATTTCAGTTCACAAAAATTTATTCGATGATACTTTGACCGAATTGTTGATCACAATAAACGATGTATTTTCCGTGTTTCTGTATTTTCCGTGTAATTCGAATGATAACATTCACCACGATCACATTATGCGGCGTTTATGTAACGTGAAAAAAAGGTAATCTTTTATCATAACTGAAGAAATCCGAAAAAACACTTTTCACCATGTTTGTTCTTTTCATCCTTCAGGTAATCCATGAAAGAAAAAAAAAATCTTCTCTTAAAAAATTGATATTTATTCATCGTAAAATTTAATGCATAAGATCTTATGCATTATTTATTAATTTAGAATATACTTCAACTACAGAAGACAAAACCTGATTTGCTAGACCCAGATTTTGTTTCTGAAAATCAGTCCATCCATCGGTTAATTTAATTTCCTGAAACACAGAAGCAATATAAGTCAAAGCTTCATTCAACAGTTTTTCATCTGTATGCTTATCGGCTAAAGCCAACACCTCAAAAACAGTCGAAGTGGAAAGAGAGGAAATAATTATTTCGCGGCAGATGTCTTGAAGATCTAGTACTGCATATTTATCACTTGCATAGTACAGATCGCAGGCCTCTGCATAAGTGTACTGTTTGATCCGACCGGTGTATATGAAACGCAGCAAGTTTTCCAAAATGCAAGGATCGACATCCTTGACGATGATTTTGTTCTCGGTGTTTTCAATCGTGTCATTTTGAAACATTTGGGCGAATACTGGAGATCTAGCCGAAAGGATACACTTATGAGCTCGGAATTCTCGGTCATCGCAGAAGAGAACGAAATCTGCATGATGTTGCTTGTCGTAGAGTGCCCGCATATCATTTAAGAAGATTGAGGAAGTTTTCGTGTCCAGATGTCCGGTCTCATCTAGATTAAATAGTTTCCGTGGGCTATCAAATCCTAGTAATACAGGATCACATTGTACAGATTTAGTTTCATATTCTTTGCACTTTGAAACATATATAAAACAATCTATATCACAATTCAATACATCATTGTACATAGGAAATAATGAGGCAACTGTAACTGAGTCGCAATCAATTTCCATACTACAGTCAACTGTAATAGTCCGTGTAAGATCTTTATTTGTTCTACATTTTAATACTACAAAACCTTTCAGTGTAATATTTTCAGAATCGCCACTTCTATGCAGAAGTAAGTCAAAGCTATCACGATTGATATAGAAGTTCCAAGAAATAACAGTGGGGTTATTTAGAGAACGAAATTGCCCACTAGTCCAATAAAAAGAATGCTGTGACCTGCGATCCCAGTGGTAAGTCAAATGATAACCCTGCATGCTTTAGTTCACTTCAAACACAGCAAATTATAACTCAGACAGTAATGCAGAAATCCAGCTTATGAATCCAACTTTTCCTTCAAACCAACTGAAAATTCACAGGATACGTCACAAAAATAAGCACGTTGAATAGTATGAAGCTCTTTTTAATAGCGAACAACAACCCAAGTTTATTCAAGCCGTCAGCATTAGTCACACCTCCCGAACTATCAGCTACAAAGGTCTCATCTGCGTGCTTCACGTCCAAATTTTTAAACGCTATCAATCATAAAATGTGATGAAAACAAGGGCAGCTGCGAGAAAACGAATGGAGTATCACATTTTAAATAACGACGAAGTTAGCAACACGACAAAGCACACCCAAATCACGGGTAACAGACCTGCAATCTAACTGCGCACTTAAAAATCTAATCAGAAAGGTTTTGGGAAAGGTTTCAGTTCTCATAGTTTAGGTTCCGAAATAATTACGTCATCAGCGCATAGCCTTATAGCGAAATCAGTTTCAGAAGGTCACGTGATCGAATTAGTCGATCTCTTTCGCCTCACTATAACCGCGAAGTTTAACTTTACCGAAAATAATAGTTTTCTCTTAAAATAAATATAAGTAAAATTATTAAACGTGAGTGGGTCGCATGATTACATTAAATTTTTCACAGCGCACTCTTTTTACAGGCGGTAAAAATGTATATCTTCAATAATTTTAAAACAACTGTACTTTTTGTGAATTTTGTGAATTAACGCTGATTTTTGTTGTTTGACTTCTGAATCAGTATTTATTCGGCGTGTTATTGTGTCTTAACTGTACTTTGTTTATGTAACTAAAAATATCATTGATAATCACAATATGCAAACTTTATTTCTGTAATTTTAATAAAAATGGAATCCATTTATGTAATCTGAATTAAATTTATTCCCAAAATAATATAAGATCCACATAAAGGGGAAAATTCAATAAATTGATGGATGTAAATTTTATTTAGATTTTCTTAACAGTAAAATAAATATTAAGGGCAGAATAATTTGTAAAAATCCATGCCACTACCATGGCATCAGCTATGTAAATTTTCAGAAGGCAAATTTACATAGCTGATGTCATCTGTCTTCTGTCATAGTCATCTGTCTTACTCCATTCACGAATAAAAACAGGATATCTCAATTTTGTCAAAACAGGGGAATGAATTAAAAATTCCTTAAATGCTGGAGAATTTCACTATAAATTTACATGCATGTTATGCCATAAATAAATCTTTCAAGAAAATTTCAAAGAATTAAATGCTAATTACATTCATAAAAAGGACAGCCTTCTATTTGTGTTAGCTCCAATTTTATGTTGTATCCCTTTAATCAAAACAATCCGAGAGGTAAGTGATTAGGCTCGTTTTTTTTAAAGTGGTTTCCCCAAATTACAGACATATTCCACTATTAAGAATAGATTTATAAAACTTGGTGTGGTGTATTTTATTATGGCAAAGCACACTAGGGCTATCTGCCTAAGGGAAGGGATGCCTTCGTGGAGGACTTTCTAAGGGAAACTGGCTCTTATATACGTTACACATGGGGGAAAACCACGAAAACACCCATGCAGCCAGCCCGTTCGCGGGATTCGAACCTCGGACCGAACTACCAGTGTTCAGCGACTTTACCGCTCGGCCGCTGGTGGGCATTTATAAAACTTGAAGCTGTACCATATACACATATGCTACATATTATGCATAATCTATGCAGAAACAAAGCATAAATTTAAAATAACCAATTTTCACTTATTAGCTGAAATTAATTTGCAAATTTTTTAACTTTTTATATGAACACTTTATATTAATATTGTCATTTTTATATTTTGTATAATTATTTAATATTATTTGACAAGTTATCAAGCAGATATTTTCTAGCCGGGTTTGTAAAGTCATTCCACAAGTGCAAGAATCTGTTCAATTAAAGTTAATTCGACTTAACTCTATGCAAGCTAACTTATATAAAATACTCAACTGCTTCCTTGACATAAGAAATGTATCTTCCATGGTTTTAAGAATTTCACCGGATAAGAAATGGACAATTGAAGATGTTAATAAAGCACTTCAGATGGTAAAGTTAATTTCCCCCTATCTAATTTTTTAAGAAAACCAAAAATATCGGCTGATGTATCTACTGAACGAATACTTTGCAAACAGTCTTGGCAAATATTGCATTTTACCACCCTTAAATCTTTTACGGAAGCATAACCTGAAACAAACAGCACTGGTAAGATACCAGAAGAAACATTTCCCCCCTTAATTGCTCGGGACAGCTTTCTGTCGACTGACAACAAGTTACTTGTTTACCAAACCATGATTCGACCAATCCTCAACTACGCCTGCCCCGTGTGGAGCTATGTTTGTAATAATACTATGCAGAAACTGCAAACTGTACAGAATATGATTTTGAGGGAGATGGTGAACTGCCGGTGGTTCATAAGAAACACGGCAATCCATCGTGAGTTAAACATTCCTGAAATTCAAGTATACCGGGTGGCCATAATTAAACTGTGCTTACAGTGTTCTGTAGCGCGATCTATTTGCGAGAATGACGCCACATTTTGTAGGAAGATTAAACAAGACGGGGGACGAAGGATTCCGTGAAAAAAAAATAGTTTCAAAAGTCACCTTATCAGGACTGGTATTCCTCTTTACTTGCTTTGGAAACATGAATTGTCCTGACTCGGAACAGGGAGCTTACTCAAGCTATGTTCAATAATTTGTGAAGTAGACAATACACACAGGAAGGGTATACGAAACCCTTTATTTTTCTATCTTTACAGAGATTTCCGGACTTCGGAATACAGAGACCAACCACTTGTGGTCTGAACGTAAGATATAAAATATTAACTAAAACTCTAACTAACTAACTTTGGATTAATATACAAGTGCCTACCTTAAGATTGGCCGTTATTTAACAAAAAGCCGTATGTAGTACAGAGAGCTGCTAAAACAACTACGATACGTTTAAAATTATCAAGAGGATTAAACCTCTGGCCTTGAAGGCAACCCAGCAACCGAGTAAAACTACTATGGCAAGCGGCCTGCTTCTAATAACTCCTTCCTCTCTCTTGCTTGGCAAAAAGCCACAACTTAAGTACTTGGCGTTAGCAAGACAAATTTGCATAAATAAGTAAAAGCTTTTAATTCTGGCCGGAAGTAGAAAATAAGAAGTGATAGTAAAGATTTAAAATAAAATAAACTTTAGTAAAACTTAGGATCCTTACAACCTCTAGGGGAATATTTGGTGCTGTGTAATAGAAAATAGAGTGTTAACAAATGCAAATTAATGCGAAATAAAATTTACCGTAGGTCCATTCTTCTACGAGAACATTATCCCGACAGGACCGGAAACCTGTTTTGTTACCGGAGAAAAATATCGCCACATGTTGAACAGCTTTGTCATTCCGGCACTTCAGCAAAGACAGTGCCTGGGGGAAATCATTTTCATGCAAGATGGAGCCCCTCCACACGTTGCTGTACGGATGCAACAGATGCTACGACAAAAATTCACAACAGAAAGAGTCATTAGCCGCTACTTTCCAACTGCATGGCCACCTCGGTCGCCTGATCTTACCCCATGCGACTTCTGGCTATGGGGTTACCTTAAGTCCAAGGTCTATCAAAGAGTGGTCCAGGACCTGGCTACGTTGAAGGATAACATATCTCGGACTGTACGGGAGATTCCTGCACACATGTTACTTTCTGCTGTTGTGCATACTGTGCGCAGAATGCAATATGTGGTCCACAACAATGGCAGCCACATTGAACCTCATTTGAATGCAAAGTAAAAGGTAATTTCCGTATTGATTTGCATTTGTTAACACTCTATTTTCTATTACACAGCGCCAAATATTCCCCTAGCGGTGACTTTTGAAACTAATTTTTTTTCGCGGAATCCTTCGTCCTTCGTCTTGTTTAATCTTCCTGCAAAATGTGGCGTCATTCTCGCAAATAGATCGCGCTACAGAACACTGTGAGCACTGTCAGTTTAATTATGGCCACCCGTTATATTGCCAAACTCGCAGAAAAATTCTTTCGGAAAATCCCGGATGTCAACAATTGCATTATTCCTGTGCTCAGTTATGATGTTACTGCAAATGTAAACAGAAAAAGGCTGTTTTAAGACACATCACATAATTTTGTATTGTTGTATTTTTGTATTGTCTAATGCTTGTATTGTATATTCAGTTTACCTATGCTCCTAATGTCATTCAGTCCCACTCTTACCTTGTTATGCCTCTCATGTTCCTTTTCTTGTATGCTTTCTCTTCTTGACTGCTATTATTATGACAGACTAAAACTGGCATATCTTTGTAAACCTGCTTATCTGTTGATTCGCACATTACTCAACGCCTCACAGTGTCTTCTACCTCATTTGGACTTGCTGCAGCATTTGTCGTCTTGAGCTGAGTGTCTTTCGTGTTCGCATACATCGCTTGATGAACTATGACGTTACACTCTTTATTCTACCTCGACATGATTTTATTCCTTTCTTCCATATTTTCTATGGACTTCATCGAACTACGAGAGAATTATGAACTCACATGTGTTCGAAAATCTTTAAATGTCATGTATACTGGGATAGTGAAAATCATTACGGGTACACAAGAGAGCGTCGGCATCACCTGAAACCGAAGAAACATTTTTTATAGTGTAGTGTTCTCACCCTTTCTCTTACAGTTAAGCGCGTAGGAACCTCGTAAACTGGTAAGCGAATAATCGCTTTAGTTCAGGAACAGAGGCGTAAACTCGAGAAGGGTTAATTACCCTTTATTTCTCAAAATAAGAATTTAACAGTCGGCTCCTTTCTCAGGGCGTACAGAAAAGCCTCCACTTGGGCTTCAACTCAAAAGTGCTAAGAAATAAATCTTAACTAATGCTTAAATAAAATGTATAGCCGAAGCGATCAAAATTCTAAGTAGTTGGCTCCTATATATCAACTAAACTGCCGAAGCTATCAAAGGCCTGAAATACGGCCGAGCGTAGTAATAGCTTAGAGGGGGGGTCGGCTAATCTTTGGAATATGGTAACAGGTGACGGAGGACGGGGACGCCTGAAGTTTAACAGAGGTTAACAGGCATATGTCTTGCGTCCTCCCCTGGAGTTTATTTAATAGTTATAAGTGTGGATACATGGCCATACAGGGGCAACTGTTTAACATCTGGCATTTGAAGTACATTTGAATTAACATACAGGCACGGTAAAAAAAAATAATAATAACACTTAATAGGTTATAACAAAAGAAGAAAATTAAACACCTAAAAATGGTGTTCAATTTTCTTCTGCTCCCTATGCAGTCAGAGATTAGATGGTAGAGCATTAGAGTGCATATGCCAGTGCAAGTAATGCATGTAAGCCCTATTACTCTGGTTGACAGAGGTCCTG